CCAAAAATAGCTCCAAAATCACCCCAAATTTGTATTACATTTTCTGATACATATTGATGTCCTTATGCTCTGTAGAAAGTTTGAGCTGATTCCGATTTTAATTTTTGCAGTTATGGCCATTTTTTAAAAACGGCCAAATTTTGAAAAATACTCAAGGCTATAGCCCATGGTTTTTTCCTAAAAATGGCTCTGAAATCACCCCAAAATTTTATTACATTTTCTGATACATATTGATGTCTTTATGCTATGTAGAAAGTTTGAGCTAATTCCAACTTCAATTTTTTCAGTTATGGCCATTTTTTAAAATGAGCTAATTTTTGAAAAATACCCAAGGCTATAGCCCATGGTTTTTTCCAAAAAATGGCTCTAAAATCACCCCAAATTTTTATTACATTTTCTGATACATATTGATGTCCTTATGCTTTGTAGAAAGTTTGAGCTGATTCCGACAAATATTTTTCGAGTTATGGCCATTTTTTAAAATGAGCCAATTTTTGAAAAATACCCAAGGCTATAGCCCATGGTTTTTTCCAAAAAATGGCTCCAAAATTACCCCAAATTTTTATTACATTTTCTGATACATATTGATGTCCTTATGCTTTGTAGATAATTTGAGCCGTTTCTGACAAATGTTTGTTGAGTTATGGCCATTTTAAGAAAACGCCAAAATTTTGAAAAAAGCATGCAAGAACTATATAGTCCATAATTTATTTCAAAAAAAATTGGCTCAAAAGTTATCCTACATTTTTGATTCACATAAATTGAATGTTTTGAAAAAAAAATTAATTGAAATTTAATGTCACAAATTTTAAATACCTTGATACTCTTCTGCTTGAGTGCTATAATGTAATACATAAATAAGAAATACAATCAATAATAATTCTTACTTTCGGTAATGTTGATAAGTATTGCTATCCAATGTATTCCACTTATTTTTCTAAGAAGGTAGTATTAAAATGATAACTTACGTATCATAAAACGTTCATTATTTTTAAATCACGTATTACCTGTCCAAAGGTGCCGATAAGTTCACCTTTAAAAGTCCATAGTTTAACATTACAGTCGTAAGATGAAGAGAGAACAAAAGAAGTTGATGACTGATGATATTCAATATTAGTTATTTCTCCAACATGTGCTGTCCATCTGGCCAATGTCAGTGGCAACACGTTTGCTGACTATTAAAAATATAATAAAATAATAACAATACAGTGTTGACTTGCTTCTCCAATGCAGTAATGAGAAATGTCAAAGACACTAATAAACCCTATAGTGTCTCCAGCTAGCAAGTAATTGTCATTAGGATCAGTGGCTAGTGCTAAGACTAACTCATCATCACTGATTGTTAGTGGAAAAGAGCCTATTAAAAAAAGAGTGAGTACTCCTACAGTTCATTTTTGCTATATGATAAAACCTTGTGGTTCTTTTCTACCAGGAAAGGACCAAAAGCGTCCGTTCCCAGCTTCACTGGTGACCAGGACGCCATGAGTCTGTCTCTGGTGTATCCTCGTCTTTAAGAACAAGACCTTATCAACAGGAGCATGATCAAACTGATTGCTATAAAAAGAAAAAATGACTCATTTGTACTCTCTCTGCTACATACGAGGTTGATTTAAGTCTGTGTGAACTGAGTCTACTTGATGATCGCGATGGAGTGTGAGAGATTTCACTCCTATGAATTACCCAATATTAATGCATACAGGAAATAAGTATTAGTTAAAGCACTGTTGAGAGTAGGTTACGGAAATTATTGCACGAGGGGCGATCGAGAGGAAAATGTAGCACAAGGCGAAGCCGAGTGCTGCATTTTTGTCAAGACTGTCCCAAATGCAATAATTTCCGTAATCTACGAATCAACAGTGCTTTGATTGGTTTGTAGTGGTGCGTGGGCGGATCAAATGAAATTACATGTATAGTGTATGTAGCTGTGGCTGTGATTTGCCTCTATCAAAGCTTGTGGTTAACAGGAAAGCCCATGCATATTATACTGTGCAGTACTATATATTCCACACAGTGCTATATTTTCCTATCATGCGGTTATTGGAAGTTATAGCACTGGCGGCGCCTTTGATCCGCCCACGCACCATACTACAAAGATATATACCTTGAACTTGTGTGACTACTTCTTTGCTTGTACAATTTACTGGAGAAAGGAAAGAAGATGTTATCACATATGTGCATTATTTATATGAAATTCCTTACAGATTGATAGCAGCTCTTATTTGAGTCAATGATTTAAACTGAACTACTTGGAGGGTAGTGTCAGTGTTCCATATAATGATATCGCCATCAAAACTACCAGTGGCAAGGTAATGAGGCTGACAGAATGAGATTGATAGTATATCGTCCTATAGCAAATGTAATGGGACAACAAGAGAATCATTAACTAACTGAATGATGAGGGAAATTAGTCCAAGCATTACTGTCTTGCTTAATTTTAAATACCTGGTAATGAGAGGATGAAATGACAGTTTATAGGCATGAAATATTAACTATAATAGCAATGCATAATAGTGAGGATTCTTACATCAGATTTATCATTGAAGGACACTATTCTTTTATTCCAACCAGCTGAGAGGAAGAGTGCTCTGTCTGGCAAATGAACTACCCCAGTCACTTCAGTAGAGCCTGAGCAAAGCATGACATGGAGACACTCTCCATTCATGTGATTCCAAATCTAAAGAATAAGTGAAAGTGTAAAAAAAGTGAGGCTATTTTGCATCTCATACTTTGATCTCTCCTTTCCTGGAACCAGTTATTAATCTGCTTCCATTCCCATCCAGTGACATGAAAGTCAGTTCTGTGTCATCATGAGTATGCCTGATACTCCTCACCTTGGTACCAGTGAGACAATCCCACACTATCACCTCTCCATCTTTACTACCAGTAAGGATCTAAGAAAGAAACAGGACTCTAATGAAACTGCTTATATTGGTAAACTTATACACAAAAGTTGGCTCAAAAATACTCCTTACGTAGTTGAACTTTGAGTCACAGAGAACAGATACCGCACTGCTTGAGTGTGTGCATTTGTTTAAGTTATTAGTAAGATTCCCAACACTGAACACTGCAATGTATTCATTGCACATCACTGTTAGCTGAGAGGGAGTGGTGAGGGTTAATATGGTCGTGGAGAAGTCAGGCTGCCTCTGGGAGAAAGGAAACTTTACATGTATGTTTTGAAATAAGGTGAACTCATAAATATCCCAAACACAAAGGACCTGCAAAGGAAGATAAGAGAAAATAAAAATAGTAGAAGAAAGATAAGACTAATTAATTTTAGTGTTCTATTAACCAGATCTCGTGAAAATGTATAAACGAGTTTCATGTCCTTGTGAATGAGGACATCAAGTACAGGCGAGAGATGTTCCATTCTTGTTGAGACTGGTGACGTTGGAACATAAGGATCCCAAAACCTCACACCATGATCCGGTGACCCAGTAACGAGCAGATTCATATCATAACTAAAATCGAAACAAGTAATGCCCTAAAAGGGAAAAAAACCAAGTTATAATGAAAAGATAAAAATAAAAGAAATTTATATAGATATAATACTTACCTTCATTAGATTAAAAATGTAAGGCTTTCTTCGTCCATTTATGTCCCGCATGACAAGTGAGTTCTGAGATGCAATAGAGCATGTGATGATAGAGTGATTCTGTGGCAAATACATTATCCTTTGTATCCATTCCTGGTGGACTTTTGCTACCACAGTCACTTGAACAAACTGAGAATGATTGGGAAGACGCTGCATGAACAAAAGAGATAACAAAATAAAAGATGCAATCATTGACTGTCTGTAATATCTATAATCACTGCATTAACTAACAGAGTAAACAATAAGATGAATCTTATCTGAAGCTGAAGGATTGTCCTGTGCATTGACAGCAAATAGAGCAATAGATGGATGAAGGAAATGAAAGACTGTTACATTTCCTTTAGTATCACCGTACAACATCAGAACTGAGTTCTATACATGCAAAGCAATTCTCACAATCACTGCATAGTGTATTATTAGTACATGTAGTTACTTACATCATCTTTGGTGTGGCTTACAATGCAGAGAGGTACTGCAGGCAGATCTGTAAATTAACAAATTAATCATAATTACCAAAACAGAATTGACAGCAATTATCACTTTTTCTCTCATGCACTAACCACAAACTCTATAGAGGAATTTGTACACAGTAGATGACACGTCATAAAAGTTTAATTCCCTTGAAGTTGTTGATATTATTAGGATATTCTGGGCTAAAAAGACAGTAGCATCGGTCACCCAGAGATTAGTCCTCTTCATACGCAATAGGTCATTCCTGTCTATCATTGTTGCCTTGTCATCCATTACAGTCCCTCTAAGCAACTGCAGGCTTGATGACCATGTTGTAATAATACCATCCTGTAATAATAAATGATGACATATCAGAGATCTACTGTACCAATGCATGATTCTTATTACCCTTGATATGCTTAGGTATCTCGATGGTGGAAAAAGATGCAAAAGCCTGCAAGGACATTGCTGGAGAAGAAACAAGTTATAAATGTACACACGTGACAGGATCTAGTAGGCTCACTTTACCTTTGAGTACAAATTATGTTTAAAGTCTGGTGAATCTTGAAAGGGAAGTGGCTTGACTGTCCGAAAAGCTTCCCTCTCTCTTAGCTGGAGCAATAAGTACGACATTAATTTATTTTCAGTGACATAGCCATCATTCTCAATGTCAACCTATAAAGAAAAGAGAAGGGTATGAAATGAAACATTATAAAGTGCCAAGATAGGCTTCTTCATTATCACCTTCCTGCAAAGTGCAGAAAGTCTTTCATCTAATGGCGAGACTTTCATCATTCCACCCATTAGTTCCATGAAATCTTCCATTTTCATTCGTCCTCTGGAGCATTTTTCTGCATGAAATAACGAGAGAAGCTCAGAGAGGCTCTCTTCATTCAGTAGCTCCACAAAACAAGCCACAATGCTGCAGGAAGAAAGAGAGAGTGTGTGAGAAGAGAAAAGAGAAGGGAGAAAGCAATAAATTAAAGGCCAACTGGCCTGAGGTAGGTATAACTGTTGCTTACTCTGTCTCACAATCCATTTTCTTCTGCTCAAAAGTTTGAAAGAACCAAAACAAATGGAAGCAAGTTATTGTGAGTGGGCGTTTCCTGGATAAAATGGGTGGGGCTGGGTGGGTGTGGTTAATACTTAATTACTTATTCTATTTCTAAATTCTGATTGTTCCCCAATTTCTAGAATGGATGAGTCTATGAACACAAACATTACTGAACCAGACTTCAGGAATGGGAGTAGTAGCTGTGAAGAAGACGATGAAGAAAGAAAGGACTTGATACCTCCCTCCTTATCGCCCCCCAAGGACAAATACAATATGATATACATCATTATGTTTATCCTCTCTCTTGGTGTCTTGTTCCCCTATCAGAGCTATGTGGCAGGGCTAGACTACTTCACTTATCTTTATCCCAGTTATAAACCTGAGCTAGCACTACCACTGGGCAACATTATAGCTGCACTTCTTTCAATCACAGTTTCCATTGGAATCATCAATTATCTATCAATTTCATTCCGACTGAACATTGGCTACGTTTTTTTCATAATCTGTTTATCAATAGTCCTATTATTGGATATCAGTATAAATAACTGCATGATTAGTACTGAGACTGGTTTCGCATTAACATTGCTCTCTGTGTTATTTTCAGGATTTGGTGGAGGAAGTGAGTCTATTTATAGAGAGCGTTTGAGACACTCAGCCCTTAATATGCATGCATGACACATGCTTGGGGATGATATTTTAACAATAATTTTTATCTTATAGTTCAACAGAGCACTTTATATGGTTTAAGTGGAATGCTCCCAGAGAGATTCACTCAGTGCCTCATGTTTGGCGAGGCTGCTGCTGGATCCATTGTGGCAATAAATAGAATAATAACTAAAGCATCGGCAGGATCAGAGAGAACAGGGACTCTCATTTTCTTTAGTATTTCATTAGTTTTCATTATCGCCTGTGTTGGACTTCAATTTGTGCTGTGGAAGTCGCCATTTGTGAAGTATTATTTCGCACAAAATACATCAAAAGAGAACAAGAGGTTCGAATTAAACTGTAGATTTCTAAAGAACTGCCAGTGCTTGAAGAGAAGAGACTCTGTTGACACTATTCAACTAACACAGATTGGAAAGAAACAGGAAGAAGAGGAGGAAGATACAACTTCAAAATATGAATTTAAGAATCAATTTAAGAATCATTTAATCGGTAAAATTTAAAGACTGTTTAAATTTAATATCAGTTTTTTTTCCTTTACAGATGGTTTGGTGTTCAGGTACAGAATACTAAAGAAAATATGGCAGCCATTCATTAGTGTGTTTCTAATATTCTTTGTAACACTCCTAGTGTTTCCAAGCATAACATCAGACGTACAGTATTGTAAAATTGGAGACTGGCCAATTGTCATTCACACATCACTTTTTAATTTTGCTGATACTATTGCAAGAGTAAGAAGAATTAGAGGAAAAGAGAATGTATTATTTATCTATTAATTCCGTTTGTTCTTACAACAGGCTTTATGTCTCTTACCTTATCGAGTTAGTCCAAAGTCATTGCTAATAATATCAATCCTGAGGTTCCTTCTGGTACCATTACTAATACTGTGTGTCACTCCTTCCCCTACCAATCCCATCTTCTCTCCTCCCTTTAATCTGGTGGTGTCCATTATAACTGTTACGGTATTAGCAGGCACTAATGGCTACTTTGGTACACTTGGTATGCAGTATGCTCCTAGTATAGTGTCCAATAACGAGAAAGAACTGACAGGTAATGCATATTTATCTTGATTTTCCTTTTAATATAACTTTCTTTGCATTCGTGTCACAGGTGGGATCATGATTCTTACATTGCTAGGAGGATTATTTGTTGGATCAGTAGTTGCTTTTATTTGGATACCTCTAAGGACACTGGATACATTTGTAGCCTGTGGCTCCACTAATGATACAGCAGTCTTTAAGTGTTTGTAACATAATTTATATTTAAAATTGACCAGAAGTGTATGAATTTCATTTTTAAAAAAATATTATGAGCAAGCTAATGATTTTAAAACCATTAATGGGAGTGACTCGTTAATTATATCTAGGTGGAGCACTGGGCTAGAATAGAGGCTAAAATCTTTTTATGGAGGAAAGTCAGGAAACCCTTGTTGATGAAACTGTTAACAGAAGCTTAGAAGAAGAGAAAGATTCACCAGCTCCTCCACCAAAGGACAGATACAGTGGTGTATATATAATTTTGATATTGCTCTCTCTTGGTTTCCTCACTCCTTTCCAGAGCTATGTTGCAGGACTGGACTACTTCACTTATCTTTATCCTAACCATAGACCAGAGCTAGCACTACCACTGAGTTACCTTATAGTGACTTTGGTATTTATTACAATTACCATTGGACTTATTAATTACTTCCCACTCAAGTTTCGAATATGCATCGGATATGCTATTTTCATAATTAGTTTATCAACAGTCCTGCTATTGGACTTTGGCATACACAACTGTACCATTAGTACTGAGACTGGCTTTATACTGATGTTGCTCTCTGTAATGTTTTCAGGGATTGGTAGTGGAGGTGAGCCAACCAGTAGGGACTTACGCATATAATATTTACAATACAAAATGCATTTATTTTTGTAGTTCAACAAGGTAGCTATTATGGCCTCAGTGGTATGCTACCTGAGAAATACACACAGGCCGTTATGTTGGGTGAAGCTATAGCAGGATCACTTGTCGCTATCAATAGAATAATAACTAAGGCAGCATCTGGGCCAGAGAGAACAGGGACTCTCATTTTCTTTGGCATTTCATTACTTTTCATTATCGCCTGTTTTGGACTTCAATTTATGCTGTGGAAGTCGCCATTTGTGAAATATTACATGAAACAAAATACATCAAAAGAGAGCAAAAAGTCTGAAATAAAATGTATTAAGAACTGCCAGTGCTTGAGAAATAGAACCTCTGATGGTTACAATATTCAACTGAGAAGCCGCGAAGAGTTGGATGAAGAAAGTGAGGAAGAAATAGAAGAAAAAATAGAAATGATTTCAAGTTCTAAGTTGAAGAAAGTCAAGAAACTATTCATCAGTAAATCTTTCCCCCCCCCCCCGAGTATAATGAAATTATTGTCTCTTCCTCTTTACAGATGGTTTGGTGTTCAGGTACAGAATACTCAAGAAAATATGGCAGCCATTCATTAGTGTGTTTCTAATATTCTTTGTAACACTCCTAGTGTTTCCGAGCATAACATCAAACGTACAGTATTGTAAAATTGGAGACTGGCCAATTGTCATTAACATAGCACTTTTCAATTTCTCTGATACTATCTCAAGGGTAAGAAGAATGAGAAAAAGAAAGACTATTATTCATTCAATTGTGTGTAGATTTTCTGTCTCTTACCATATCGATTCAAACCAAAGTCATTGCTAATAATATCAATTCTGAGGTTACTTCTGGTACCATTACTAATACTGTGTGTCACTCCTTCTCCTACTAATCCTATCTTCTCTCCTCCCTTTAATATGGTGGTGTCCTTCATAACAATTACAGTGATAGGAGCTACCAATGGTTACTTTGGTACACTTGGTATGCAGTATGCTCCTAATATAGTGTCCAATAACGAGAAAGAACTGACAGGTATATAAGTTAAAATTTAATAATCCAATCATTTCCCCTTACACAGGTGTAATTATGGTCCTTATACTGCTAGGAGGATTATTTGTTGGATCATTAGTTGCTTTTATATGGGCACCACTAATGTCACTGGATACATACATGGCCTGTGGCTCTACTAATGACACAGCAGTTTTTAAGTGTTAAAAACTCATGACTATGATAATGCTGCATGTAAAAATATACCGTAAAGTTATTGCTATTTTAATGATCGAACTAAAATGACATTGTCGCCACGAATGAAAAGCTGCTTCAGGTAACGCGTGCACTCCCAGCGTTTTTGACAAGAGGAGAAGGAAGAGACAGGCAGAGAGGAAGAGTGAGTGGGGACTAAAGGATGATTGGAAGAGGATGACTGAGAAGAATGACCTGATGAAGAGCAATCATTAGAAGGTAATGAGGAGGAAAGAGATGATTTGGGTAAGATATCATTAGGTTCTTTAGGTGTAACTTCTACGCATTTTTCTAATAAAATCCAGGAAAGATTTTAAATAATGATTAGTTTATCAACTTACTGCTATGTCTTTTATTTCTCTTTTTTGTTTTACCTCTATTACCGACTGTCTTCAATGGAGTATAGTGCTCTGTGACATCTCTCAGTATCTAAATAAAATTGATTAATTTAGATTATTAGCATTTCAGCTAGTGTACAACAACGCTTACCATATTAAAATGTCTATCAAAGGCAATTATATTCCCACAAATCATTCCTCTTAGTCCTCTACTGTGTCTCGTTAATATTTGTACAGGTATCTGATGAATTTGACAGTCTTGAAGCAAAGCCAATGGGCCTCTCAATGGTTCTAATAGAAACAAAATTAATAACAATATAAAGGCAAATAATACCTTTCAATAAATCGAGTACACTCTTTAGCCTCTTAGTAGATGCTGCCTCTTGGGGTTTCTGTTCCGGTACCGGTTCCAATGATTGACTCCTCCCACTCCCACCCACTTTTCTTGTCCCTTTTACAACTGAGAGGTATTGGTCTAGATTGTCACATGGTTGGACCTAAAAAATTATAATAATAGTAGAGTTATATAATTTTTCACCTCTGGACAAGGGACACTCAATGAAGAGGATAAAAGAGCCTTGCTAGCATTGAAATCTGAAGAGAGAAAATCAAGTTCAGGATCCATGTGGGTCATGAATAATTAATTAAATGTAGCTAATTAATTAAGCTTAATTAATTAACCAGTTAATAAACTAGTGGTGATTAACTTATTAATAAACTTTATTGGTCAAAATGGGGCAAGGTGGCAGTCATGATTTTCAGGAAGTTTTCCAGTCAACTGTAGCTGAACTATCCCAGTTGCAGCTAGCAGAGCTTGGGAATCAGTAAGATACATCTATCCTTGCCCTCTTACGTCCTTTTATGCACAGGTTTAACGAGTTGTACAGGCAGGCTGGTGGAGAACGTGGGCGTGTCATAGATAGGGAGAAGTTTTCACTTTACTTTAATCTTCCCGTGGCACTGGGAGATAGACTCTTTGATGCCTTTGACAAGAAAAAGGTAAAAGAATATATATCGTAAACCTAGGGGGTGGTCTAGTTAGTTTTTGAGGTGGAAATTTTGGCAAATTTTGAGATTGGCAAGTTTTGATTTAGTGAACATGTTGCCATTTCTCATTGAACATGCATGAAATGGTTAGAAATGGTAGGCTCTGTTTCACTAAAGGCCGCTATTTTGAATGTAGAAATCTAATTCTTTTCTCACTCCATTTTATGATATCTAGAATGGATCTATTGATTTCGAAGAGTTTGTCTGCGGACTATCAATCATTCTTCATGGCTCTTTCTCCACAAAATGTCAGCTCTTATTTGACTTGTTCAATATTTCCGGAGACGAAGGGGTAAGCCGTGAAGAGCTCCATTCTCTTCTCTCTTCAGTGGTACACTCAACTAATACTATAATACTAACAGTCACTGAGGGAGGAGTTGATAATGAGAGTGGAATAGTTACTGATCCAGAATCATCTATTGCCAGGTATGTACATGTACATGGGATACTGTTAGGATACTGTTAGGATACTCAGGCCAATTTTGGAGCAGCTTTAAAATTCGTAAAAAGTTCAATTTTGATCAAAACCAGCTCAAACTTTCTACACAACATAAGAACATGCATATGTATCAAGAAACATTTTTAAAATGAAGAATTTTCTCCTAGTCATTTTTGGCAAAAATTTGACGAAGTACCCTGTACTATAGTACAGGGTCTTAGGCTCGATTTTGAAGCAACTCAAAAGATTTTGTAAAAAATTCAAACTTGATCAGAATCGGCTCAAACTTTCTACACAACATAAGTACATGTATATGTATCAGAAAAAATTATAAAAATGAAGAATTCTCTCCTAGTCATTTTTGATGAAATCCCCTGTACTGTAGTACAAGGTCTTTGGCTGGATTTTGAAGCAAATTCTAATTTGATTGACAAATTTTATACATAGCATAAAAAATATATTTAATATATCAGAAAATTTACTAATTCTCATTACGTATATGTTTTTGATTTCAGTGTTGTTGATGCTGCTTTTGAAAACTGTGACATCTCTCGCTCTGGTAAGCTCCTCCCACTCGAGTTTGAGTACTGGCTGAAGAGGAACCCTCAGGTCCTGGACTACCTGTTACCAAAAACCCCGGAAGCTTCTAACGTTAAGACTCGCCATGGAAGCATGCTTGCTACTCTCCTGGCAATCGATGAAGATGAACCAGGGACCGAGGAAGCCATGGAAATCACACCCTTAGAAACCACACCCAATCCTATTGAGACGACTTCAATTGACATTAGTAGCACAGATATTGATATGGAGGACCAGGACGAGAGGAACAGTATCGGACAAGTAGAGCCACCTCCTTCAGATGAAGAGGAGGAGGGAGAGGAGAACAAGGAGGAGGGGGAGGAGAACAAGGAGGAGGAGAAGGAAGAGAATGAGGAAGAGAGGGACATTGAAACACAATTAGTAGAAGAAGGGAAAGAGAGAGAGAGAGAAGAAAAGGTAGAAAAGGAGGTAGTAGAAAGAAAAGAAGAGATAAAGGTAGACATTGAGACAGAGGGAGGAGAGGAAGTCCCTGGAACTGAAGAAGGCGAAATGGCACTACCTGAGACTGTCAATGAGCAAGTATCAACTGACAAAGAGAAACCAAAAGAAGACACAACAAAGAAAAGAGAGAGTGTCAAAGAAGATGACAAAGTACAAATATGTAACTTGACAGCAAGTGAAGAAACGCTAAAACTAGCAAGACAGCTATCAAAAGATTTCAAGGAGGCCCTCAGCCCGACTGGCAGTGATGATTTTATTCTACCAACGCAGTATGAGGACACGAGCGATAGTGGAGAGAAAAGGAGAGAGAAGGAGATCAATGATGACATATTGTGTTCATGGCTACCTGGTGAATGGGTACAGCAGGTTTTGGCTAGTGGCAGGATTGTCTCACCCGAGCACTTGACTCAACCTGGACTCATCTCTCCTACTGGAAAAGTATGTTAACAGTTTTATACTCTTTGGGTCTAATATTGGAGTCACCTTCTTTAGATGCGCATATATGCACACATACTCTTTTTGTGTCATTCATTTATACTATGTATTTCTGTATTCAGTCTGATCCAATAGGTGAAGTATTAATGGCAACTTTCCCAGGATCTGAAAGAAGACAATTACTCACTGCAGACCAAGTGACCATGGACCACGAAGGACTTATGAACCTGATAGTAAGAATATTCATAATAACATCAGTAACAATAATGATTTTTCTAACAATAATGGTCATTTTTCATTAACCTAACATTCTTCTCTCTCCCTCCCTTTTAGCATAATGGCTGCTATCATGAGGCACTGAGACTCACGTCACTTGTTCTTTCAGCTCACGGTCAGGGAATTAATCAGATTGGATCCATGACTGTACACACACACAAGACTCTACAAGTAATCCACAGACTCACTGAGAACTGCTTTAATCATTGTTATATGTAATAATTAGATGTGGTGTGCTCGATTGTCATTGTTGTGTCAGTTGGAGAGATACGATGAGGCTAAACAAGAAATGGAGCCGTTTAAGGATTTGGACCAACCTGATCTTTACTATCAGTACAATAAACACAACTATCCTGGAAAAAAAGGTATGTTAAAATAAAATTAGCAAAATCATAGTATAAGCATATTTTATAATAATGACCTGTTTTATTTACTTTAAAATGATGCTCTACTTCCTTATGTATTTTTCGCTCACACACAAACCCTCTCTTTATTTGCAGGTAGCATGGTACCATACAGTATGAGACTGTTACATGCACAGTTGCCATTATACACTGGTAACATTCAACTAGCAATGAACAGGGTGTGCTTCCTCCAGTATGTTACTGGGACTATCCTCCGTCATATCAAAGAAAAGAAAAAGATGCCTTTTATCGATGAACTGCTCTCAGATGAAGATCAGCAACTGGCAGAGGAGGTTTGGACCAAGAGATTAGCTCACGTGAAGTGTTTACTAGGAAACTGTCTACTAAGCATCAAAGTAATCGAGGAAGAAATTAATAACATTAAATTCTCTTTTCCTTTCGTAGGATTATTCACTTGTTCGTAACTTACTTCATGAAGTGATCGAGTTGCTGCCTGATCAGAAAGTACAGCTTCTTTCTTGCCTTGGGAGACTTTGCATATCAGTAAGAATCATATTATATACATGTACATATCTTAATGGAAGATTGAGTATCTGGTACCACATATTGTATTGTATCTATTATTATTTTATTGTGTCCTGTAGTATGGTAATTTGGTTGATGCTGAAGATTATTTCTCACAAGTACTAGCATTGCTAACACCAAAAGCAACTAATGAAAATAAATCACTGACACAAGCTAATAAGTTAGTACCTGCAAATATTAACACAGTCATAATAGTATGTTATATTATTTTTTCTATTATTATTAAAGAGGTCTAGTCAATATTTATCATAATCAATGGATCAAAGCTGAGAATGATTTCAAATCGAGTTCAACTTCGGACGCAAAAGTAGAACCATGTAGCCATTATCAATAACTAATGCCTTTCTTTCCATCTCAGTCTCTTTATAACAGTGCCATGTGTGCCCTGTATCAAGGAAAATTACAACAAGTACATTATAGAGAGGATTAATGAACTATGTTAGTAATATTTATAGGCAATTACTTCGATTGAGGATCTCATCAAAACCACATCCACCACTTCCTACTCTCCTCTTCAGGTCTCTCTTTTTAAGGTTCTCTTCTCACTCTATGAACTTGAGTCTTCCAAAGGGCAGGCTAAGAAACTCTCGTGGCTTCCTTTTCTCGGATACTTTGCTCCAGAAGGATTCAGTCTTAAATCAACAGGGATGATCGCATGATTTTTAAAATGACATTGATTGAAATTTGAAATTAATATCTTTAATAGCAAGAGTTAATAGTAACAAAACATCAGTGAGTGATGAACACTAAACAGGAAGCACTAGAAATACTAGTCTCACTGAACGCTTCAGTATATATATTCTTGGTACAATCATTTCCAAGAGCTAGGCTATAATGAAATTTAAAGTCAAATGACTTTTAAAAAATTAATTGATATGAACGTTAAAAAATACACAATAGCCATTACAAGAACAACAACAACAATAATAAATGATACAGTCCATGAGTATTCTCACCCCCAAGCTTGTGTCTTACAATATGTCAGAACTAACTTGTCTCCAGTTCCATAATTCTAAACAAATAAATGTAATTGAGGTGTGGCTTACAAGCCTGGAGTATGAGTATGTACATATATATGTTAAGGTGTGGTTTAAAGCCTGGAGTATGGTGTATGTATACACTATAGTAGAAAGGTGGTTGTATATTTAAAAAATTAATGGGAGCTATTGCATTTGATTAAACCCTTATGACCATCCTATGTGTATGTCTATTTGAATCAGCTTACTTTGTACAGAGTCTCTAAGTCAGTATCAAGAGGAGGAGCAAATGCTTGTTGCACATATACAAACTACACAATGTATATTAGTATAATTGGATAGTTTCGGTCACATTAATCTACTTACCATAGTCTCTCCTTCCTCAATCTTTAGTTTTTGGCACAGCCACTGAACCACCCACGCAACTGACCGATCCTTCTCAACAGCAAATTTCTTGTGTTTGAGTTGAGGAGCGTTACCAGCGGCTCTTAGACTCAATACAACTAAACAGATTCATAAAATAATGACATTTCGAGCAAAAAACAAGTCATACTCTTATCATCTGATTCGCTAGGATTTGGAGAAGCAACAGAAGATAGTTCAGTGGAGGAGGCCATATTGGTAGCCACGCCTTCTTGGAGGACCGCCCACTAAATGAGGGGGAGTGTCTGGAGAATTTAATGGGAGGAGTCAATAGTGTGCTCAAGATTTTCCGAGAGATTTTCTTTTTCGTCTTCTTTCTTTAATCTTGATACAGTGGATCTAAAAGGGCCTTGGGGCTGGGATTATTATAAATACCACCATTGCTTCAAGTGGTGGATGTTATGAGCAGCTCCGGCGGTAGCAGGCACAGACCAAGACGTAGGAGCCATGAGCGTTCAACCAGTGGTTACGGGGGAAGCAGATCAGAGCTCTCCTCGTCCTCCTCATCCTCTCGCTACTCCAATGATCCTCCGCCAAGATTCGCTAACAGAGCTAGTGGCAGTTCCAGCAACTTGTCGTCTTCATCCTGGGATCATGACTACAGCGGGGGCAACAAGAGGAGAGATGGAGGAGGGCCTGGTTCAAGACAGCAGAACAGAGGAGTAAACTTTGGTAAGGAATCCATGTTTATTTACAGCCGAGTTACTTTTATTGCAACATTGTGGTTGTAGGTGTGGCGAAAATAATATTAATTGTGGTTTTTTTCTTTAATTATATTTTATAGATGATGCTTCTGTCAATCAATTACTGAACAGATTAGATCAATGCAACGATAATGATAAATACAATCGTATCATAAGACAGCTTCAAGACATGCTGGAAACAGCCGACCAGAGGGTAAGGAACTGATATTTACATGTATGTCATGTCCTCTCTCTAGCTAATTGGTAAGAATTTGTCTGTGATACTGGATACTCTACAAAATGGGATTGAGAGGTAACGTGAGATGGAAAATATGTGTAATTTAATATGATCATTAGGTTCTACAAGACATCAGCTGCTACGCTAGAGCAGTGTTTGTCTTTATTGATATCGTCTAGCAGAGACTCACACAAGTAGGCAGTACTATAATTATGACAATGGTTCTTAATTTATTTATAATTATTTTAGTTTGTTTGACTGGATATTTTCAAGTGTTCATTCTGATCATATTAGCGATGATGTTAGAACCGTCTACCTTTCAGGACTCCAAAAAGTTAGTTATATATTTCTTTATAATGCTATGATGTGACTATTATAATGATTTCGTTTAGTCTCTTCAAAATGATGGCGACAAGCATACATTCTCAAATTCATTACCTGTAAGCTATTTTTTCTACATGCACTTCCTTATAATTCTTATTTTATTTATTTATTTTTATTTATTCATTTATTTATTTATAGTTTATTGCTGAGAACCTCCAGTCAGTACTTGAAGTTGCTGACACTCCTTCTCTTCTTGAGGTTGTGGTACGTAATCTGTTGCACATTGCAAAAGTATCACCAATGTACATCAGCCCTCACTTTAATGTAAGTTACCTCCCGCCCTTCTCTCTCTACTATTAACTGCTTGCTGGCTATTATTATCATTTATTATTATGTTATAGAATGTTGTTGATATACTTGTTGGATGGCACATTGATACACATCAAGATGAATCACTCATCAAGTTCATTGCTGGTCAGTTTTAATATTAATCTTTTTATTGTGTTATTAATTTTTTCTTTATTAAAATGATAGATTCTCTCATCTCTTTGCAACAATTTTGGGTTGAAGACATTACTTTCTCCGTTGATCTTTTGAAACAATTTCTGGAGGATATGGATGCATACACTAATGTCAGTTATAGCCATTGAACACTCTTTTGCTTTTACATTTGTGGCAGCTCACTCAATTTAAAGAGTTTACCCCATCCAATAGCTTTAGGCTATTTATCATAATGTACTGTTTGTATAGTCTACTGATCTTTGTGTGTGTGTGTGTGTGTGTTCAATGCATTTGGATTATAGTGAATAATATCCTCTAGGAGTTAACTGGTATGTCTGATAATGCTCCTGTTTCTCCTGATGACCAGTCCACTCCTGAGCAGTGTCTCTCAAAGCTAACAGCTCTCATCAAGTATCCACCATGCATTGTAGTACTTCTTATTAGTCTCTGTATTGTGTTAATAGGGTGTTCACTACTGTATTGAAGGCACTTGGGACTAATTTCTCGCCATCTCGTTCAAACGTATTGCCTGCTGATGTTAAAAAGGTATTAAAAAATTATCATTTATATATTATGAATTCTCTTTATCCTCTTCTTCAGGTTGTGAGTCGTATCATTGAGTATGTGGTGATGTCAACTGATGTCATGTATTCTGAAGATTTATTAATAACTGGTAACTCAATTTATTTGAATTCAAAAATGCCCCCAATTTTCTATTAATGTTTTTAGAAATTTTGAATTAAAAACAATTAAATATTTTGTGTTCTAGGTAATGAATGCCTCTGTCAGCTCTCAATATGTCTTCAAGCTTATTTCTCCTCAACCTTCAGCAATGAAGTGGTTGATTATATAATGCGTCAGTTTGACCCTTCAGACGAGCAGGAGCTCCCTTCGAATGAATTAGCAATGTCAATGATCAAACTGGTTATGCAGGTACTTTGTATAAACACTTTACTACTGTGTAGTGTGTAGGGGAGTTAGTGTATCTTCTATGAGTAGTTGATAATAGAGAGCTATTCAAAGGTGTACAGTTCACATGTAAATGTAGGGGCTAGTTTTTTTAACTATTACAACTTTTTTGCACCAAATACCATACAGCATACCATTGATAATATATGTACTTATTACTATTATTATTGTTGTTATTATTGTTGTTGTTGTTGTTGTTGTTGTTAGATGGCTGAAGACTCTCAGAGCTCATTGCCGACTCAGTTCCTCCAGAGACTCCTGTCACTGGAATCACCTTTCCTCCTCATTAGATCCAGCAGTAATGCTAAGGTACTGTACGACACTCCATCTCATACAGCACATACACAATGTACACGTGCATATAAATGTCTTGAATGCTATTAACATTTTACATTTATCACTAGACATTATAATATAGTATGTGAATGATGTAACAATTGTTGTTGTTATTGTTGTTTGTATTTGTAATTGTTGTTGTTGTTGTTGTATTTCTAGGCCTTAGAGATGCTATTGAGCTACTTTCAGACTCTTCTCTCTATTAGGAACATTCCTATTGTTGAAACAGTGTACAAGTTAGCCCTCCCTTTTTCTCTCATCTCTTTTATGATGTGTCTCTTTCTTTAGGCTACTGCTTGCTGACTTAGAGAGTGCCATGGACATGCTAAGCAAGAGCTTCACTGACCCTCTTTATGAGAGCAATCCTGACGTCTCACTGAGTGTCTTTGAAATGCAAATATTTGCAATATTTGATGTGACCGTCCTCTCTCATGTTGCCAAATCCTCAAAGTCTATCATCGGAGTAAGTGTGGGTGGGCTCTAATTGGAATTCCTGTATATAAAGTGAAATAGTTGTTGAGTCTGATTTTTACATATTTCACATTCACCTGCACCTGTCTGTGTGTATACATGTATATAGTGCTTGTATATGCTCTTAGCGTATCATGTAGTACATGTACATTAAAACTGTAAATATTTTGATTAGTTGTATTTATATTTGTTTTTGATTAGATGTGGTCTCCTACTCCCTCTGTCTTCTCTGTACTCACCTCCTACTTGACTTTCCTCACTCCTGAGATGGCATCAGAGTATCCTTCAGTTCACTTTGCTTTGCTCCACAGCCTCTTTCAAGACTGGATGAAGTATGTTTGTCTGTTTCTATTTAAACCTAGCTAGCTTTATTTACCTTCTCCTTCCCCTCTCTTTCTTCTATTATTTTCTCCCTCTCTTTTATTTTTTATTTTTCCTCTGACTCTCTCTCTCTCTCTCTCTCTTACTCTATTCCCAGTAATGGTAATTACATACCTAATCCTGGTTCAGCGTTCAGGCCAATAGATCCAGCTGATGGAGGCTCAGGCTCTTTAAAGTCTCCCTCTTACGCTGGCTCACTGACTGATGTTATAATTGAGGTCACAAGACAATTGCACAAGTTTGACTTATCTTATGATGTATGGTAAGCTACTGTTTATTACTGTTTTATGACGATTGATATTTGTATCATGTACAAATACCGATATAGTTGTTAGGATATTTTGATGCATTTTTGTGGCTGTTAAAATATTTGTATTTGTATTGATTTCATTTGATTTTCCAGTCATTTATTTCAAAGATGGACTGCTGATATATCAGACTGCATATCTACCAATAAAGACTTGTATACCCATTCCAACCTTCAGCTGCTAATGGACAACCTCTGCATGGAGCTACTCACATTGAGTAAGACAGTTATTGTGCTTTAGTGATTATAGCTTGATTATCATTATTATAAAATAATAATGATAATAATAGTAATAGTATTAATAATAATGATAGTATTAGTGATTATTATTATAGTTTGTAATTAGTAATTTGTTTATTATTTAACAATTTTGTGCATCTAAAATCAGCAAATTTACATGTCCCTCATGTGTTAAACCATTAAGCTTCTTTGTGGTTTGGTATCCTATTTGTAATAGCAGTACATGCTCATGACTTTATGATGATCTTTTTTGTAGCATTTTCTCGTGAGCACTCAGTAAGATTAGAGAATGCATCCGTCCTTAAAGGTTTGATTCAAAATAATGTTGTTGGAGATAAAGCTATTGCAAAGTAAGTTTAACAATACATTCTCATTATTTTTTGCATTTATTATTATTATTATTATTATAATTACGTTGCATGGTGTACTTTTATTCTCCAGATGTGTCCCTGAGGTTGTGATGAGACTCTGTGACACAAGAGGGGAAATAAGAGCAGCCTACTCTGCCCTTTTAGAAGTCATACCAACTCATATTATCACCAGGTAACCAGTACTGAGTACTTGTACTAATGCCTCATGACCACGACTTTACCCTCTAGTTTTAATATCGGCGTTGAGGAATTCCACCCGCCAAACGGTCGTAAGGGGCTGGAAGGTTTGAGGAGTTGCAAGGGAACTCATCACGCTCGTCATCTCCACATGACCAAACCATCACAAGTCACGTTCCATGGGCACCACTTTAGAGCTATAATGGGTTTCATTATGAATGGACTAGCTCCTAGGTTAGCTAATAAGGGATAGTGGAATGGATTGGTATTATATCAGAATCAGATGCATACTGTCTATCAATAGCAGTGATGTATTATATTATACTTGAAATCACACTCTTTTCTCTCTGTTCTCTCTGTCTCTCTCCTTCCCTCTCTCTCTCTCTCTCTCTCTCTCTCTCTCTCTCTCTCTCTCAGTAAGCACTTACCTGATGATTGGTTGGAGCGCATGTATCACTCGTGTCAGCACAGGAGACCACCTCCTGATGCGCTGGATCATCCAGAGACTCACCCGTTGCTCATGTCCCAGCTCGTGTGTAACTGTGATGCCCTCCTCTGGTTCTGGGCCACCTATGAATCAGCCCAGTATTGTTTATTGGCTAGACTCAAGACACCTCTTGGATCACCTAATGATACATTCAGAGCATTAGAAAGTAAGGAAATCAGTATCAGTATCAGTAACAGTATCAGTATTGGGATGGAAAAGTTTTTAAAATGGAGGATTCTCTTTTCAGAGGCATTTTTGATGAAATGCCCTGTACTCCATATTTTTGAGTAACTTTAAAATTTTGTAAAAAATCCAATTTTGATCAGAATCTGCTCAAACTTTCTATAGATCATAAGTACATGTATATGTATCAGAAAAAATTATAAAAATCAGGAATTCTCCCTTTTTCATTTTTGGCGAAATTTGGTCCAAGTCCCTGTACTATAGTACAGGGACTTTTGCCCGGTTTTGGAGCATCTTTTAAAAATTCATAAAAATCCAATCTTGATCAGAATTAGCTGAAACTTTCTACGCAACATAAGTACATGTATATGTATCAGGAAAAATTATAATAATGGAAAATTCTCTACTTTTCATTTTTGGCGAAATTTGGCTAAAGTCGCAGTACTATTATAGTACAGGGACTTTGGCCCAATTTTTGAACAACTTTAAAAATTCAGAAAATATTCAATTTTGATCAGAGCCAGCTCAAAATCAATAAACAGCATAAGAACTTGTATACACATCAGAAAATATTATAAAAATGAAGAATTTTCTCAAAACTATTTTTGACGGAATACCCTAGCTGTACTATTATAAAGTATAGGCCATAGTATAGTGGTTTGGTGAATTATTATCATTATCATTATCATTATTATTATTATTATTATTATTTTCTTAGCTGTTATCAGAGGTTATGCTCAAGAGGTAGAAGCTAACGGAGCCAAGAACAGCAGAGACACGCCCTCTGCTTTCACCGGACACTCCGGAGCAGGTATACCATTTCAATAATAATAAATACTTGACACAATTTAATCATTATCAGGGCTGGGCCCGCGCCATTACACCGTTCATTTGAGAGCTGTCCTCCTCCTTCAATTCATGGAGCATCTCGATAAACTCATGTACAATGCTTACGAAGGATCCTGTGTAACGCTGCCCCTAGTCCCTAAAGCAGTCAAAGGATTCTTCAGGAAGAACATGGAGGTCTGTCTGAGCTGGTTGAGTAATGTTAGAGGATCCCTAGTCTCAGTGGCTACTCATGCTGGCCTGCCTTCTGTGGCTCTAAGGCACGGGTTTGCTGCACTCCAGTCACTAATGAGAACCAGATCAGTTCAAGTGAGTATGAGAGAATGAGAGAGAAGAGATAATGGCTCAAAACTTTTAAATTTTACCTCAAAAATTGCCAGAGATGACTCCAAAATTGCCCCAAATTTTAATAAAATTTCTAATGCATACTACCACACTGGTCTATAGAGAGTTTAATTAGCTACATTTTCAATTTCAAATTTGACCAAATATCTCGTCTCTTTTTTTAGAGTCAAAGTCCCGAGTTCTTTAAGATCCTTGTCATGGTCATCCATGCTTTAATACAACTCAATTCGTGGGAGGCCATTCGTGGTATGGGGGTGTGGCTAAAGGGAATAACAGGAGCTCCTCCTCTCTGGATTGCAGCTGCTGAAGCTCAGGCTAAAGGAAGCTTTGAGTCGGCTTGTGAGGATTACATCAAATCACTGGAGCTGCCTATGGATAGCTATGTACAGAGCTTTGTGAATGATAGGGTCAGTTAGAATCGTATATGATGATATACTGTACATTGTGATTTTATCAACCTCTACTTTGTGCCTACTCCATTATTCATTATTATTTATTAGTTGATGTATTATCTTTATTATAATTTATCACTTGTTTTATTTTCTCTATTCTTTTCTCCAGATATGCGAGTGCTATATATCCCTGGGTGAATGGAAAGATGCCGAGGAGCTTCACAGAAGAGCCAGCATGCAGCACTACTCTGAGTCTGAGGGCTCTGGACTTAGCTATGACCTTAGCAAAATGCAGTCAGTACTGAATCAATAATTGTAATCAGTATCAGTTAATCCAGTTTTATGATGTGTAAAGTATTAGTGATATTTACAGTACACAATAGTATATATAATATATATCAATCCAGTACCTTCATGAGTACAAGTCATGTACATGTACATATGTATGTTTGTTCTTATCCAGGGCGTTGAGTTATTTTGAACAAGGTGATTTCTCGTCCGTTAAAGATTGTCTTGAGAGCCAAGTTGAGAGTCGTCACTGGGGGCGTGACCCTGAGGTGATACCGCTCTGGGACCCGAACCAGTTACTATCAACCAGTGAGACTCTCCTACTGAGAGCCTCTACACTACAAATGGACATATCTGACGATGATGAATCTAGCAGTACCACCTCTGACGATAACATTTCAAGGTATGTACATGTATATACATTATGTACATGTATAGAATATTTCTTTATTTCATAGTATTCAACGTTGGTTAAAGTTAGCCTCAGCGTATGCAGAGAGTCCCCTTAGGGTTGGTTGTCTAGAGTGGCCGTTGAGACTCTCTCCTTATCATGCCCTCCAGTTACAGGCCTCTGCTGCATTCCGTCTCCTCACTCCGTTAAAGTCCCGTCACGCTCACCCAACCAGCTCCAGTCTCCTCTTACACTCGCTGCCTATGAAGTCCCTCAATCCTGCTCGCCACGATAACGCTATTTGGAACACTGCCCGCCGCTACATGTCACACCTTTCCGGTACTTCAGTCAGTACGACTGACCGTACTCCCTCTCTGTTACTAGAAGCGTATCGACTTGCACGTAAACACAATAACCTTAAACTAGCTCGAATGTTGATCCAGCAGCACATCCAGCGATTGGCCGAGCCGCTCTCAATGGTTAGTGGTGACGGGTTGTCGGTAGGTGAGTCGAGTGGACTATCAGGAGCCGTTGAGGGCATGCACTCGTCTGTCGTCATCACGTCAAAGGAAAAGTTCCGCAACATGAGGGAGCTCTCTAAACTCTATGCTTGTCTCGGACAGACCAGCGATGCTGTTGATAGTCTCACCACATCAATAAGCACATTCTGTGATACTGAGAGCAATAAAGGAGCTGGAGGGGTAGCTGGGAACGAACTCACTGGTAGAGGATTACTGACTCTCGTCAAATGGTTGCAGTCCGATGCAAGGCTGCTGGGTACGCTCTGGCGTCCTGAGTTTGAGACCGGACGAAAGCTTGAGAGTCTGTTGACTCAAGAGATCCTCTGTAGGCAGGACAGGATGGGCCTGTATCGTAACTCAGGGCCAGAGGAAGCTTCAGAATTATTTCAACCTGACTGCTCTGTGGCTAGGTAAAGCACCTGTACTAGTATACATGCTTTTGTACTTACCATACTGTATGTAATGTACTAGTATTGTACATGTACAGTACTCTATCTTATTGCTCTATTTTTATTACATTATACATTACTCTCTCTCTCTTTCTCAATAGGTTTGATAAGCATGAGTATGGTATAGGGCAGCTCCTTCATTTAGCAACCATTCATTGTCCTACGTTAGCTAAAGCCTGGTGGTTGTTGGCTGGCTGGTGTTATCGTATTGGACGCAAGAATCTTGAGGCACTCAGCTCCACCGGGACTGCTGAACTACTCACACACGAGCAGAGAGAAGTTGATCAGATACTGGGAAAGGTAATAGAAATTTATTTGAAGTACTGTATAAAATGATAGTTTTTTAACCAAATTTATGTGTAGATATAATTGCAATCCCTATGTCTTTCATCACCTATTTCTTTTCTTTATATTTTATCAATCTTTCTCTTTGTCATTTTTCCCCTTGCTTCTTTTATTTGCCACTATCCATTATATCTTCTCTTTGTTTCTGTAGCTAGTTACAAGTGAGGAGAGAGCTGGCATTTTAAAGGTTCTTGGTCAAGTTCACATTGCTGATGATAGTTCTGATGAGGACCTTAAAGTCAGGGAACAACTGAAGGTAATCATCATTGAAGAGATCATGTACACTATTAATTATAAATATTTATTGATTATTTTATTATTAATAGACACTTGATATGGAGGAAGACACTAAGTCAGTCAAAGGACAGTTATTGACTGTGTGCCCATCACTGGAGAATCTCCCATCATTGGATCCATTGTTGAGTATATGGCATGGAGTAAGGAAGAGAATGTTCATGCACTATCAGCTATCAGCTAGAGCTTACTTCCATTTCCTTAAACTATCAGGTACTGATATATGTTACTAAAAATAGATTTGTTCTAAAAATAGATTTTTATGACTACAATACAGTGCCCTTGCTTCTCTGTCCTCTTCTTATTATTTTACTGTTATTATTATTATCATTATTATTATTGTTGTTGTTATTGTTATTATTATTATTATTGTAATAGTAATGATGCTAATTTCTTACAGGTGAGCAGGCTGGTTCATCTCCTGGTCTTGATGACATGAATGTCACTGCCTCATTGAGATTGTTAAGATTACTCGTCAAATATGCCGGAGAACTTAAAGCTGAACTTGAGACCGGGTTCTCAGCCACACCCACGAAACCGTGGAAAGGTAAATCGGAAATTTTATTTGTGCATGTAAAACATTCATGTACATGTACATGTACATTAGTGGAGAGCTGTGTATTTCTTTCTTATCATTTCTCTAAGTATTAATCACTTTCCTTATTTCATTATCAAAGGTATAATCCCTCAGTTATTTTCAAGGCTCAATCATCCCGAGGCTAACGTCCGTCAGAGTGTCTCCGACCTGTTGTGTCGGGTTGGTCAGGACTCACCTCACTACATCATTTATCCAGCCATTGTGGGGGCAGCCAAAGGAGCCGAAAAGAAATCAGCTTTCTCAGGTCTACTACAAATCATGTCTTCATTAATACTATGTTAATAATGTACATTATGTGCTCAATAAAGAGTGTTCGTGATTGAAGCTGTTTTAATTAGAAAACTCTGTGAGCTACATGTACTGTACATGCATTAGGAAACTAGAAGTCTATTAGCCTACATTGTATTTCAAGGCTAGCCTTTATCAAGTAAAGAGAACTCTCAAATAGGAGCCTGTCTACAAATTAAAACTTCTATTTGTGTTTAAGGATTTGCTTTTTGCTACCTCACCTACATGTGTATATGTACTTAATGCAAAGGTTTCATTTCAGGTATTCTTGGTGGCGGACATGGCGAAGAAGGAGAGGAAGAGTCTAACTATAACAACATTGATAATAATGTGATGGGAATGGATCAGTTCTCACCTCCTGATACACTACAAGACAACATGGACCAAGGTATGATACACTGTATGTCACTCATAGCAATTACTGGTTACTCTCCATTGGCAAGTACTTCCTTGTAGTCCATTCTGTGGGCTTTAATTTTTTGCCAACTGATTTTTGAATTTTTTTATCTCTTGACAATTGTCATGTAAATTACATACATGTACATATATGTGTGTATTAGATACACAAATGTAATTATGTATCTGTATAGCTAATAGTACACATTATTGATCTAATCAATCCACCTACTGTTGGTGAATAGTGGTACAACAGGGAATAACCTGATTCCTTATATGGTAGTGACCAGTGACCATAATGTATTGTCTGTGTGTGCTTTAGTTAGAAAAGGATCTGGTCACAGATTAGGCTATCTCTCTCTATCTTTATCTCGTGTTTGTCCTTTGCTTTCTTATTGTGTATCATGGCTGGTAAAGAAGTGCCTGTTCCTCTTATCAAACTACAGGAACAAATTACGTGTGCCAAGTGTTTCAATGTCTTCACTAAACCCAAGACACTCTCTTGTCTCCATTCATTCTGTCAGCAGTGCATTGAGGGATTAGCTACCATCTCTACCTTGTCTGTGGCCTGTCCTACCTGTCATCAACACACTGAGCTACCAGCTCATGCTAGAGCTGCTGGCTTTTCTGTGGCACCTCAGATTGTCGAATTAAAGCAAATGTATGATAGCCAATCAGTCCATGTCAAGTGTGACATTTGCCAGGACAATATCATTGCCAGTGGATATTGTAAGGAATGTAACCTATCAATATGCCATCAATGCATTGAGAAGCATAAGGATTGGCCTCATGAAATAAAAGAGTTTGATGAGCCTTTGAATGATAGGTTGCCTGTTGACAAGGAAGTGGCTTCACACTTGAAGACCATTCTGTCTGCCATTGGAGGAAGAAAGGCTGAGATAAGAGAGCAAGGAGAAGCAGTGAAGAAAGAGATAAGGTCACTCCTCAAAAGCACCATTGAGGATAAGTTTATGGAAGAAATTGATGAGATTGTGGCTAGGAAGCTCCAGTTGCTTGAGAAGCAGAAGGAAGAGAGTCTCAATGCTTCAGGTAAGATAGAGGAGTTTCATCTGGTAGAAAAAGCTGATATACAGTTTATTAGAAGCAACAATGACTCCATCAGTCATCATGTTGGTAGGATAGTATCTAGTGCTGGACTGGAGGAGTGTAAAGTAAAGGAGATCACTGCCATTAAGCATATACCAAAAGATCAAGCAATATCATTTGAGCTATCAATAGAATCACCAGACGATGAAAGATCTCTTTTAGTCTTACCAGCTTCTTCTCTCTCTCTCAATGTTGTTGTAACTCCTACTATCACTAAGCCTTGTCAAGTTATTAATGCTAGAGTGATCCCTACTGATAAACCAGGAGTGTACCAGGTTATATGTACTCCTGTTATTAGAGGACGTCATCAAGTTAACGTGAGAGCTCTTGGCGTTCAATTGAAACTACCTTCTTCGTTTACGATACCTTTCAATCCTTATGATGCAGCTCCCATTCGTGTTATACCTGGTGTTGATAATCCTCGTGGTATTGCTGTTAGTGATGACGGTCTTATTGTAGTATCAGAATATAAGCCTTGTATTATGAGCATAATGATTAAAGAAGGAAAGAAATTGAAATCATTCAGTGAGGGAGCTGCACTTGGCTTTTCAAGGAATAATGGCCTGGATATTATGGAGGATAGCTCTATTCTTGTTGCTGATACTGACAATCACAGGATACTGAAGATAAGTATGGATGGTAAGTGTGATCCAGTTGGTGGTAGTAGGGGTGCTGGAGAATTACAGTTTCAGTTTCCTACTGGCGTCACTGCTTCACCAATAAACAAACATATTTATGTCGCTGATAAAAATAATCATCGTGTACAAGTTCTTAATTATGATCTAAAGTTTTGTCCTGGGTTTGGTAAATCAGGAACCGGCAATGGAGAGTTTAACCAGCCTGTTGATGTTGCTGTGGATAAAGAAGGAAATATTTATGTCACTGATAGTTATAATCATCGCATTCAAAAGTTTACTCATGATGGCAATTATATTTGTCAGTTTGGCAGTCAAGGGTCTGGTCCTGGCCAGCTTAATTATCCAGCAGGTATTACAGTAGACACTACTGGTCTGGTGTTTGTTAGTGAGTGTAATAATCATCGTGTCTCAATCTTCACTAGTGATGGCCAGTATGTGAATCACTTTGGAGGGAAAGGGCAAAACAAGGATCAGTTCGATAGTCCATATGTTGGAATAACGTTTGATAAAGATGGCCGCCTCTATGTTTGTGACAATTTAAACAATAGAATAGTAGTTTATTAGTGTGAACTAATGATGTAGTTATGGAATAGTCATTGATATTTTCTTGTTGGTATGAATCTGAATATTTATGTAACTAATTCTAATTGTCAATCAAAATTTTGCATCAACTAAATAATGGTACACAGTATGTACTGTATAATGAATAATATGTAGCTTTGGAGGGAAAGAGCAAAACGAGGATCAATTTAATGGTCCTAATTTGGAATGGCATTCAAACATGGTTTCCTTTACCTTTGTGATACTGGCAAAAGTAGGCTAGTAGTTTATTAGTATTAAACTATTAATTTAATTGTGTAATGTTTTTCATATTGTTTTAATTATTATTACCTTGTAATAAAATCAAATAAAATTCTCTATTGGCGTATTATTATCTATAGTACCTTGGAGAAATACTGCATATACATGTACTATCATCTGTTGTACTCTTTTAGCAGATACAGCTTCTAATAAAAGTTTATTAATGAATACAATGCATGCTTGGTACAGCGTCTGAATGCTTTCAAACTATGCTGTACACTACCATCATGCCTGTATTTTTCACTCGTGTAGACATGATTGAGAATTCACCGTCGGAATTATCCAGCCTTGACAGGTGTCTTGCAGTCATTGTTGATTCACTGACACAGAAAAACCCCATAATGGTGAAAGCAGTGAGGGACCTTGTATCAGAGCTCTGTCGCATCACCCTGCTCTGGGACGAGATGTGGCTGGCAGCACTGATGCAGAGACAGGGCGAGGTACACAGGAGACTCCTCCAGATTGAAGCTGAGACCAAAAGGACGTTTGCTATACATAATCACGTGCTTAGTATGGAGCGGAAGGAAGCTGTCATGAGACAGAAGTATATTGCCACAATGAAACCAGTGAGTAAATTGCATTTAGTAATGATAATGTTAATAATAAAAGAGTTCTTGATAAGTTGATATACGTGTATGTAAGTATGTATTTTTTCATTGCATTAAAATGTTGATGTATAAGTACATGTATGTGTAATTTGTATTCTCCTTATCACATAATTTTATTAATTTGTATTTCTTTCCTTTTTTTCGTTTTTTTCTCTCTCTCTCTCTCAGTTGCTTTGGGTGTTAGAGTATTTAGCTGCAGTTACAGCCCAGCCCCCTGAGACACAGAATGAGCGTCAGTTTCAAGCCGAATATGGCGAACTCATTACAATGGCAATACAGAAACTCCAGAATCCAAGCAACTACAAGAGCTCCATTAATGTCTGGGACCCTTTCAAACAAGTACACTAATAATGATAATAATAATGATAATGATAATAATAATAATAATGATAATAATAATAATAATGATAATGATAATAATAATAATAATAATAATAATAATAATAATAATAATAATAATAATAATGATAATAATAATAATAATAATAATAATAATGATAATAATAATAATAATAATAATAATAATAATAATAATAATAATAATAATAATAATAATAATAATAATGATAATAATAATAATGATAATAATGATTTAATAATTACTGTATACACACACGTATGCAATAATAGTATGAGCTTCAGATTTTAGATTATTATTTATTATTTTTTTATTGTTTTTATTCTTTTTTTTAGCTTCAGCAGATGTTAATGCACAGGGCACAGAAGAGGATGCAGACCCCACTGAGTCTCAATGAGATCAGTCCTCACTTGGCAGCTATACAGTCATCATGCATTTCAATGCCTGGACACAGTCAAATGGATGAAGTGAGAGAATTAAAATAAACATGTACTGCATATAGTATCAATACATGAGAGATAATTGATTTTTTATTCTTTCTATTTTTTCTTTTATGTGTATCTCTTTGTTATTTATACTAATATAATTACACATACATGTACTTATACTCATACACATACATGTACATGTACATGTATAGTTACGTTATTCTCTCTCTATTAGCCTGTTCTATTGGAGTCATTCTGTCTGGACGTGTCTGTCCTTCCAACAAAGACGAAACCAAAGAAGATATCAATGATAGGGTCCGACGGCCGGAGACACACTTATCTCTTCAAAGGATTGGAGGACCTTCATCTTGATGAGAGGATAATGCAGTTCATGGCTATCGTTAATAACATGTTTGCTAAAGCTCACAAGTAAGGCCTCTACAGTTGTGGTGATTGTACTTGTAATTTTATAATTGACCCTCCAACAAGATTTCCTCTTACATGCATTTGGTATACTATTAGCTATACTTGGAACATAATAATTTAAATTAATTTTATCACTTTGTATGTTATTTTTGTCTTTTTTTTTATCGGCAGACATCAGACACAGTTGTATTTGGCTCGTGATTATGCTGTAATACCATTAGGTGCACGCTCTGGTCTTATCCAGTGGGTCGATAATGTTACCCCGTTGTTTGGTATTTATAAGAGATGGCAGCAAAGAGAAGCACTAGCTAAAGCAATGCAGCAAGTAAGTACATGTACATGTATAAATACACATGTATAAGGAATGGGGTTAGTTGCTTTAAAAATTCATAAAAAATCCAAATTTGATTGGAATCAGCTCAAACTTTTTATGCAGCATAAGTACATGCGTGTGCATCAGGAAAAAAATCATAAAATGGAGATTTCTTTCCTAGCCATTTTTGGTGAAATTTGACCCTAAAGCCCCTGTACTATAGTACCCTGATTATGTACCGCCTTTACTCCATTAGGCTGGTTCACAGCCTACAGCTCCGTTACAAGTTCAAGTCAGGAAGCCCAACGAGCTGTTTTATGCTAAGATCATTCCTCTCCTCAATGAGAAAGGGCTTAATGAACACACTCCACGCAAAGAGTGGCCCCTCGGCATACAAATGAGAGTACTCAAAGAACTAATGAACGAAACCCCTAGAGACCTACTAACAAAGTGAGTTCATACACCAATACTGGATCATGTACATGTATGCGTAATTGCGTGCTGATTGAAAGGTTTAAAGATTGACTTTAGTTTTTAATATTTGTATTGTTTCTTTATGCTAGGGAGTTGTGGTGTGCTAGTTCATGTGCATCAGAGTGGTGGGCAGTCACTCAGACCTACTGTCGCTCTACTGCTGTAATGTGTATGATTGGGTACATCATTGGGCTGGGTGACCGCCATCTTGACAATCTACTGGTAGAATTCACCACTGGACAAGTATGCCCTGACTACTGACTACTATGTGTATGTACATGTACAAATATTGGATGAGTTGGTCAAGTGTTTTTTTAGATATAAAATGCTATAGTTTTGTTTTAAATGCATAACTCTTTTTGTATTTCTTATTCTATTTCTCTCTCTCTCTCTCTCTCAGGTTGTCCATGTTGATTATAACGTTTGTTTTGAGAAAGGAAAGAGCCTTCGTGTCCCTGAGAGAGTTCCATTCAGAATGACACAAAACATTGAGAATGCTCTAGGATTCACTGGAGTTGAGGTACAATATACATAATATACTCAATCATACATTACCTATATAATATCTAATAGGGTTTATTCCGTATTTCCTGTGAAGACATTTTGCGTATTCTTCGTCGAGGAAGAGAAACACTATTGACACTGCTAGAGGCGTTTGTATACGACCCGTTGATCGACTGGACACAGAGCGAAGAGGCCGCCTTCCCTCTGGCTATGAGAACCACAACTGAGCTCGGAGTGAGACAAACAAGGAAGGAAATGGAATGGGAAGTAGCCGAAGGAATGCTCATTACTAAACTGGCTGAGTCTGAACCACACTGGCAGAAAAACAGGTATAACAATTATTGTGTATACCATATTTCTGTATATTTATACACAAACTGTGTTTTATAAACTTCTTTCTATTTCTTGTAGAGAGAACTTGTGCTCTGTGCTGCTTGCATTGGAGAAGCATCTTAATGACATAGCATTGACTAGTGAGCAGATGGTGGGCTATCAGGAGAAGATTGGCAAACTTGACAAAGAGATCAGCATATTGACAGAAGCTGTGTCCACACCCAACCATCCACTCATATCAATGCAAGACAGGTAACGAGATGCTCACTGTCTGTCTATGTGCTTTTATTGCATTCTCTGATGCATGTAACAAAAATGACACAGTGTCTTTCCTTTATAGCAGAAAATGTACTTCATAGTCATGTATTGTACATATACATGTTTATGCATTGAAGCTTTGAGCTGATTGCAATCAAAATTGTACTTTTTTACAAAATTTTTGAAGTTGCTCAAAAAGTTTGGCAAATATGTAGTACAGTATTTGAATGTCGTGTTATGGTGGAGCTGGTGCTTTATCATTGATGTTTCATTAGGCTATCGGAGCAGAGTCGTCTCTCTGCCGAACAAAAGAGATTACTATCACTAATCAAAGAGAAATATGATGACAGTTTAGAGTGGAACCAGAAGTACAAAGTAAATAGCTCATTTTTATTGAAGATTAGAAAAATACTTGCATCTTTCTCTCTCTCTCTCTTCCCAATAGTCTGTATTTACTTCATTGCATTCGACTGATAAAGAAACAACTCTTCAAAAACTAGCAGCCATGATGAGAGAGCCACTAGACTTGGGTATGCCCTATTGTTGTAATGCATTAGTGGATTAACTCATTCATTTGTATGTCACAGGCTCATCAGGTCATGAACCAGCAGTTGAGTTCTTACAGAAGACAGGACAGGCACACACTGTTGAATCTGTGAGTGTACAGTACCACTATAATGTCACTATAGAGCTCTTTCCCTATTTGATTACCTTTCCTATCTTTATATTTTCAGTATATATGGTGTCTCTTCTTTACCTTATTTTCTTTCATTTCCCTTCCTCTCTCTCTCTCTCTCTCTCTCTCTCTCTCTCTCTCATCTTGCTATATAAAACTAGTGTGATCAGCTGGAAGATGAACTGGTAAGTTTATTACAAAGACGAAGGACGGTTATCCATGGAGCACTGGAGGCACTCAACCAGTATAGAGTCATCACCTCTCAGTTCCCCACAAGATACTTGGAGCAATCAAGGAGCTACCTTTGGGAGCACTGCCTGGATGAGATTGTTAACTCCAGTACAGAGATACATCATGATCAGTAAGTCAATGTGCTATTATTATTATGTACACATAACAAATGCAATGTTAATGCTTTGTATTAATAATTCGAGAGGGTTGTACTCAATATTTGGAGTGTATTTTATTGATTTTTTGCCTCTATAGGTTTATCAAGATTGTTGAATCGTTTGAGAGTCTTTTGGGTCCCTCACCGCCCACTCGACTAATAATGGCAACTGATAATAAACTAAGGAAACAAATTCAAGAGCAAGGAACTAAATTCCAAAAGGTATGAATTTGTTGCTGTGTGTGTCTGTAAAAAGTTTGAACTAATTCCGATCAAAATTAATTTTTTGTGAATTTTTAAAGTTGCCCAAAATTGGACCAAAGACCCTGTACTATAGTACAGGGTCACGGGTCAAATTTTGCCAAAATTGAAAAAGAGAGAATTCTTTATTTTTATTACATTTTCTGATACATATACATGTTCTTATGTTGTGTAGAAAGTTTGAACTGATTCCGATCAAAATTGGATTTTTTACAAATTTTTAAAGTTGCTCAAAAATTGGACCAAAGACCCTGTACTATTAGTAACGCGGTAGCGTTATTAGTAACGCGGTAGCGTTACTAAGTAGGATTCACCCCCAAACAAAATGGCTGCCACGACTTTTGCAGCCTTGCTATACCGGGAAAACGAGCTCCTATGCTTACCAGACTTCTTAGAGGACCTTATCTTGACCAGAGGACTCCAATGGTACCCATAGCGTGGCTCTAGACCTTTTCTGGGAGAAAAATCAAAAATCTGCAAACCGGCCGTTTTGTTCAGCCACCTTTTTTCATCTTCATCATCATCATCAGGAAAGTCCTGTCAATCCAGTTGTCGGTCGATATATCGATCTTGCCTGGTGATAGAAGGCTAATTCTTACACCATTCTACTCCAACAGGGTATGCGCAGGTCCTTGTCCCCTAGAATCATTCTCCAAGAAAGGAAAAAGTGATACTGTGACTGTTGGATCGCACCAGCTTACCTCATGCCGCCATTTTGTTAATTAAATAAAG